TCACTGAAACTGCTCAAACTGAAGGACCACGTGACCAAATTTGTGTTCTGACACTTAGTGACGACCCCCTAAATCACTGACACTGCTCAAACTGAAGGACCACGTGACCAACTTTGTGTTCTGACACTTAGTGACGACCCCCTAAATCACTGAAACTGAAGGACCACGTTACCAAGTTTCCATTCTTACTGCGCCTAAATGTGAACCTTTTTTAGGTGGTAATTGAACATTAAAAAAAACAAAACATTTCTTGGATATTAAAAAAAAACAATTATTGTACGAGTACATCTAGAAGTGTTGCCAAGGCTTAGGTTGTATAAGGCTGTTATTGCTTCTTTTTTTTTAACCATGGATACGGAGACGTTGTAATACTTCCCTGTAAATCAAAAATAAAGAAACAAATAGATCCGTCCAGATCCGTTTTAGGAGGCAAAATCGCCATGCTGCGGTCTCGTGTGCTTATTTTCCCTACAATTAGGTTCGTGCTCGTACTTAAGCCACTCATATTTACCCTAAGCTACATGTTAAATCAAAACCAAAACCTATATGAAGATAGACAGGTAGATTGATTTGTGTTGATAAGGAGAATTTCAACGGTTGTTCCATGCCACACACGATTGTTTAGCTAACAGCATTGTTTAGACACAATGATAATTAAAAGTGAATCTTCCATAGACAAGGCTTCTTCATCATTTTCTCTTCTCAAGAAAAGTCTCCTTTCGCTACAGAGTCTTCTTCACTCTGTCTCATAACGAGAAAAATAAAACAATGATCACGTCATATTACTGGTTCGGTTTCGCTCTCCTCTCGTTGGAAGAATAGTGTTCTATTGAGGCGGAAGTTCCAGTACTCGAGACAGTCGTAGAGATCGGATAAGGAAGTGGAACAGGAAACTTGAATAGTCATACCTACGTCAGTAATGCTTTACTCTATTCCAATGATCGCTGCACAACAAAGAGAGATTATTGAAAAGCAAAGAATGAGTGGGTGCACTGAATATGAGATGTATATTCTGTGTAATTAGTCCAGTTCCAGGAAGTTAGACATATTTCCTTCAGACTTTAACATAGTCAGCAGAAACTTAGCTGCATCAGAAAGATATAAAGATTCCCTATAATAATAAAAAAGTCAGCTGGTGTAATAATTATATTATTAAATGAAATAGAAGCTATATAAAACATAATCAATATTTTACCGGATGCTAGTTCTATCGGTTGACCTTTTATTTTACCGGAAGCTAGTTCCATTGGTTGATCTTTTATTTTACCGGAAGCTAGCTCTATCGGTTGACCTTTTATTTTACAGGAAGCTAGTTCTATCGGTTGACCTTTTATTTTACCGGAAGCTAGCTCTATCGGTTGGCCTTTTATTTTACCGGAAACTAGCTCTATCGGTTGACCTTTTACTTTACCGGAAGCTAGTTCTATCGGTTGACCTTTTATTTTACCGGAAGCTAGCTCTATCGGTTGACCCTTTATTTTAACAGAAGCTAGTTCTATCGATTGACCTCTTATTTTACCGGAAGCTAGTTCCATCGGTTGACCTTTTCTTTTGTTGTTGATACAATACGACGATTTATTACAATTAGTGTACTTTTTAATAAGTCTGGTTTTTCGTTTGTCAAAAAGACAACACACCATGATAACAATGCAATATTGTAGTAAATTAACCGATAAAAATAACATTCATATTTTTACCAACAAAATTACTTGTTTTGCTTTGACATCACAAAACTTAAAAATTGACCAGTCACAATTCACGAACTCTTGGTTCTTCTTATACGTTTAATCGTCATCTGTTGAAATAAAAGTAAACTGGAAAAGCTACGGTCTACACGTCAAAAACTGGCGTAGCATAAGAAACCAAAAAGGCTAAAATTTGTGATAAAAGTCATGCAAACTGCAAATGTTTTTACCACAGTCCTTTCAATTTGTCAATAAACGAAAAATACTTATTCTGGATTACATTTATATCGAACTATTTAACTAATAAATAATCAATAGCCGACTAATTTTGACCATCCTTCTTCGTAAGAGAAGGCCTTTGGATATTGTTAAGTCATTCTACTCGCTCATGAGAAATCATCGGTAGGGGGCGCATTAAAGATCTTGTCGATTTAAAATGTTCAAAAATATTTGTATTTCTATCTGCTCGTTCTAAAAAGAAAATGCTTTGATTCGAAATAACAGTTGAAACTTGTAAGCAACACTTATTTAAAACGAAATATGTGTTGGCATTTTATAGTGTTTTAAACCATAAATTTGTTTTGGATAAAAGATAGAGTTATCTTGTGATAAGATAAAAAGTACAATTCTTTGCGACACATCTGTTCTTATCTTTAATAACGGCTGAGACCAGTAATAAGCACATAATAAAGAAAAATAAGAGCTATATTTCAAGAGTGCAAGCTGTTCCATTTTGAAACTCAAGATATAACTAGACATATGTTATCTCTGTAGTGATTTATTTGACTCGAATAAGTGCACCAAATACGTATTTGCTTGTCAGAGAGTTTTCTCCTTCGTGCAGGTTTAATCCAGATTAGTAATTTCGTCAGGTGTTTTTGGGATAACGGCCGAAAAAGTCGCTAACATCATGGTTTTCCAACTAATGACCTAAAGTAGAGTGGCCGTAGAATCTTCTTGTAGTTTGCTTGCTACTCGTAATTGAGACTCTTTGAGACTCTTTATTATTAATTATTATTGTAAATATTTTTAAAAACTCTTATGGTAGAAGTTATTAGATAATTATTGAAATTTATATAAAATTGCGTGCAACGTTACACAAGGGTTGCCCCCCCCCAGTGGCACAGCGGTATGTCTGCGGACTTACAACGCTAGCATCTGGGTTTCGATACCCGTGGTGGGCAGAGCACAGATACCCCATTGTGTAGCCTTGTGCTTAATTACAAACAAACACAAGAGTTAGCTGTACATAGACACCTCTAATTTTCAACTGATAGACAAGAGAGAAGGCAACTAGTCAACAGCACCCACCTTCAAGTCTTGGGCTAATCGTTCCTTATCAGAAAATGGAATTTAACCTCCACTCTTGCGTTTTGGTGGCAACAGGAATTGAGTAACGAAAATAAAGGAGCAATGCACAGTATATATATAAGAATTTGTACTTTCACACGTGTTTCATAACGACAGGACAGCAGAATCAACTAAATGGTTTCATTTTCCATTCACATAAAGTATTACATAATCCTTATCACAGTTATCACTGAGTAAAAACGGGCGGGACAGTTCACGAGCTGACAAAAGAGGGCTTGTTGGACCAGAGGTACATTCTATGTATGTTACAGATACAGAAACATGAAAGCTGTGAAAAGTTTTCTCGAAGTTTTAACCCTGTTTTATGCAATCCAAGTTTCTCTTGCTGAATTTGTTTTGAGGGATGAAATCGTAATAAATGGTGAGTCTTATAACTTGTCGTAACCTTTGTTTTCAGTTCAGCAAGAACGCGGGATAAAATGTGTGAGACCTTGGAGGGTGGAAAGACAGTACTTTTTAAGAGGTGCATTGGATTATTTACGTCATAATTTACTATTTTAGCTAACTAGGTACAAGGAATATCATGGTTATAAAGACGTAAAACTGTCTTAATATATTCTGTAGGAGTCGTTAGTTCGAAAAGACGTAAAACTGTTTTAATATATATATTCTGTAGGAGTCACTAGCTCAAAGAGGTGTAAAACTGTCTTAATATATATATTCTGTAGGAGTCACTAGCTCAAAGAGGTGTAAAACTGTCTTAATATATATATATTCTGTAGGAGTCACTATCTCAGAAATATGTAAAACTATCTTAATATATATATATTCTGTATGAGTCACTAGCTCACAAATATGTAAAACTATCTTAATATATATATATATTCTGTATGAGTCACTGACTTAAAGAGATGTAAAACTGTTTTAATATATATATATATTCTGTATGAGTCACTAGCTCAGAAATATGTAAAACTATCTTAATATATATATTCTGTAGGAGTCACTAGCTCGAAGAAGTGTAAAACTGTCTTAATATATATATATTCTGTAGGAGTCACTATCTCAGAAATATGTAAAACTATCTTAATATATATATTTATATATTCTGTAGGAGTCACTATCTCAGAAATATGTAAAACT